AATATAGAGAAAAGAGAACCACCATATTTTGCAACATTACTAATTTCTCTACTTAACTACAACAAATGCTCCTCTTTTACTTTTCTTTAGGCCAGAATGAGGAGAGGGGTATTCTCCATAAGACTATACCTTTTTATTGTACTTTAACCCTTATTCTATTCATAGATTCAGAAATATGCTGTTTTAAGAAAAATGGCATTTTTATTTATGGCGGCATACCATGCAGGGCCTTAGAATACTTTCTTCCTGAAAAGGAGGATCTAGATAAGACTGAACTTAAAGATAGAGATTAGTAAACAAATTTCTTGATAATAGCTGGTTACCCTTTTATTTCACTTCGCTCATAGTCAGCAGAACCAAGTATGACACCACTTTTTCTTTTTTTCTGAGTGATATTCTATGATATACTTCAATAGTATTTTGTAAGTTAGTATATTGAGAATAGTATTGAGTTATTCATATTTCTATAGATAAACCTATCTTTTATAATCTTGGATTCTAATTCCTTCTCTATATTCAATTTCTTAGTATACTTCCAGCAGCAAATTCTTCTTCAGTTGTACTATTATGTCAGAATACTTCCTTGAGTATCCAGCTTATTCAAGATTCTACCCCCTTTTCTGGTACTTTCCCATAGGTACTTTTATTGCCAGTATAGCCTTATTCTTCACCCTCTGACTGTGAATTAGTTTGCAAATATGAATAATATTCAGCTAGCTGCCAGTAATAACATATCAGTAGCAAAATCTCCAAGTTCCAATGAACTAGAAATGAAAGAATGGCTAAATCAAGCTCTAGAGTGGTTAGAGCAAGAGCCTGGAGAGAGGGTAAGTGTAGTAGCTGAATTGTTTAATGTAAAGGCTACAGCAATATGGATGCATCAATTACGCAAGTGAAACTAGTAATAAAACTCATGTGGAACCTTCAATCAACATGGAGGTAATAATCTTATCTTGATACCAGTTCAGGAGAAGGCAGTCTATATGTTTTGCTATCAGCAATGGGAGATAGGAATAGCAGCAACTCCATCTATTATTTTTGCTGCAATTTGCAACCTTCGTCAATAAGAGAAGTGTAATCCTCCATTACAGGATTGGTTTTAGCAATGGTTCAAAGGAAATCCAGACCTACATACAATTAAGACCAAGCTGATAGTACGAGCTAGAGTCATGGTTACGACACATGCAGAAACAGAGTTGTATACATTTTTTGAGAGCTACTAAAAGACCTTGGAGAAGTATGGAATTCGTAGAACGAAACACATTTCCCATATGGATGAATCTGGGATTCGAATCGGGTGTCCTGCTGGAGAGCTTGTAATTGTCCCTACTGAGGTAAAGGAGTTATATACTCTAAGTTCAGAAAATCATCAGTCCCTTACAATCATCGAAAAAATTTATGCCAATGAAAGTCCCCTACCCCCACCAGTTATTATCTGTCCAGGAGAAAAGATCATGGAGAACTGGGTACATGAAAGTCTAAACGGTACTGAGGTTCTTGCCGTATCTCCTACAGAATATACAAATAAAAAGATTGCGCTATCTTGGCTTGATTCCTTCATCAAGCATATTGGAGCTGGTCCTGCTAAGCATTAGAGAATACTCTTTCTTAATGGTCACTCTACCTACTGTCAGGATGACTTTGTCATCAAATATTATGAGAATCATATCATTCCCTTCAAATTTCTATCGCATCTCACTCATGTTCTCCAACCTCTAGATGTGGGTGTGTTTCACCCCTAGAAGCACTACCAAAATAAAGCTATTCATAATGCTCTGTACTCCCTTGACCTCAAATATATAATTTCCCCCTTCTTTCAAGATCTAGACAATATCTGCAGTCAAACTTTCCAGACCTATGTGATTAAAAATAGCTTTTAGGATTCTGGCATGTTTCCAATTTGTTATAAGACTGCTTTGAAGAAAATATGCCAGTACAATTCCAAAGCAAGTAGGATTGAGGAAGGTAATCCAATTGAGTCTGAGAATACTATCGATGAAGATGGAGTATTGGAACTTCCAACTCTTCCGACTACGTATTTTGAAAGTCAGAAGGGTATTCAAGAATGGATTGATAATCCAACTATTTTTAGCCCAAAGACTAAGCATCGTTTTAAGCAATGGCTGAAGGAACTAAGATCCTTCTCGCTAAGGTACAGCTAGAGGAGAAAATGTACCAAAAGGTTCATCAGAGAAATCAGGAGGAAGCAGCACGTAAAAGGACATCTTGAAGAGTGATCCAAAAAGGTGGAGTAATTACTATAGAAGCTGCCTACAAAGAAAGAAGAAAGAAGAAAAAGAGAAGGTAGCAGCTATTAAAAGGACAAAGAAGAATATACAAATTGCTGTTAATAAAGCAAAGGCAGCTTTGAACCAACATAGAACTACAGCATGAAAGTTGGAGAGGGGGCAGAAAAAAAATATTCGGAATATTACAATCTAAGGTGGGGTGGTTCCACCAAACTTGTTGATACCAATTCCTGATCCAGAGAAGAATCCTACCCCTGAGAATCTTGAAATACTTCTTCTTCCTCCAGATTTGTTACAGGCTCTGTCTAGACTTGAACATATATCAGTTAATGATAGAGTTGGTACTCTAAGTAAATCCTAATTTTTTTAAAAAAAAGAATATTGATAAAATGAGAAATATTGAAGCTAATACCAGTATATAATAGGTGGAGAATGAACATCTGGTATCAAGGTATCAGGAGAACCAAAGCAGTAATTTGGTTTTTGATATTGAAAATCATAGTAATACAGATTCTTCTTGCATTTCACTTGATTCTATTGCTGAAAATGCTGATTTTATTGGCATTAGTGCTATGTAGTCATAAAATATCACTCAAAAGAAAAAAAAAAGCAGTGTCACACCTGCTTCGGCATCACACTTGGTTCTGCCGACTATGAGCGAAGCGAAATAGGAGGGTAACCGGCTATTATTGTCTTAGATAAAAAACTATGGCATAATAATCTCATCAAACTCTAATTCAATAAACTAGTGCCTGCTAGTTGTCACCAAATAATGCGATAGTTCTTAGCAGTAGAGCTTTCATGGCATTCTGGGCACTACACTATTTTTAAGCTACGAACTTTATCCTGTTATGATTCCCCAAATGGGCTAGTATTTTGACCCAGCCTGAATGCCTCACCAGCCAAGAGTATACTCAAGAACCTGTGCAATATTGATGTTACACTTTTGGGCACACCACAAACACCCTAGCTTCCAGCTAAAGGTGCACTAAAAAACGTGTGCTTGGGCTTGAAAAACGGGAACGAACGAAGGGATACAGGCAAAGCGATCCCTTCGTTCGTTCCCGAGTTTCACGCACTTTCAGTCATTTTAGTGAGTGTAGAAAATGCTCCGCTATTCAGGAAAAGGTTTGTGCTTGAAAACGAACGAAGGGATGTCAACACAGGTGCTCAGCCAGAAAAAAACGCTACGAAGAGGGTAAGCGACGCCGCCACTCTCGCGACTCGAGAATCTCGCAACGCCGGAAGAGACTGTAATCAAAGTTAACAACTAAATTACGGCTTCGGGTTGGGAGTTCTTGTCATCTCCACGGCGCTAATTCTTAATTGGCCAATAGGATTTATTGACGGAAACTAATGGGGGACACACTCGAGTGCTGGTATGAAACCTGCATCCGAAGCACCGGTATGCCACCCTAAGGACATGTGGAACGCCTATACGAAGCAGACCTCAGACTGGAGCGGCTCCGGTTGTTGTGCCAACGCTGATTCGACCACAGCCTAAACACCCGAGGTTTACATTTCGAATCTCCAATTCAACCCCGCCACAATCCTCACCCTATCACTTTATTGGAATACTATCAACCCCCTCTAAGAACCCCACCGTGCTGCATCTCATCAGTTACAGTTTCGGTCATGCCGCCAGCATCCTCGAATCTCGAGGTTCCTACATTGGACACCGCCACACTCGTTCGAAAACGTGGAGTCTCTTCCGGAAGAGTTCCTACAAATCCAAAGATGGAGGAATTTCTCAAGAGCTGGCGACAGGATGCCTTGAATAAGCATCAATACGACGCTGCTATATACATTGGCGATAAGCTGTTGGCTTTGACTGGTATTCATGTCGCTCGCGCGCCCCCCACTGCTCGTTTGGGGACACTCCTAATGCTTTTCTTGAGTTAAGGGGACCCCAAGGATGCCTTTTGGCTCGCCCAAGTTCACTTCAGCACCGGGCACTACAGTCGAGCACAGACATTCCTTACTCGTAACGACTTAATATCTCGATCTACTTCCTGTCGCTACCTCGCCGCCTTGTGTCTGATCAAGCAATCCAAATACGATGAAGCTCTCAACATCCTGGGCGACAAGGACCCGACACATCTCTTTTCCGGTTCAGTTTCTACTACCAACGGGCGACGACGAGCTGCTGCTGGTGGACGGAGTAGTAAGGATCGGGAAGAACAGGTTGGGAACGTAAAGTTTGAGGCGGCAATGTGCTATTTGAGGGGCTTGGTATATGCTAAGCAAAACTCCTTTGATAAAGCGAAGGAATGCTACAAACATGCTGTCCTCATTGATGTCAAGTGCTTCGAAGCATTCGATCAGTTGATGAGAAACGCTCTCATGTCACCGGACGAAGAGTGGGCATTCCTGGAATCGCTGGACTTCGACGGTTTAGGTGCCGATGGGGAAGAACCAGGTGAACAAGCAGAATTCGTCAAAATGCTATACACCACCCGACTGAGCAAGTACAAAAACCCAGCGTACTTCGGCGAAGCTACCGAGATACTCTCAGAAGCTTATAACCTATCACAAAACGCCGACATGATACTCTCCAAGGCAGAGTTATTATTCACGCAGTGCAAGTTCAAAGAATGCTTAGCCCTTTGCAAAAAGGTTATCGACGACGACAATTACAATTTTTCGGTTTATCCTTTGTATCTGGCATGTCTACACGAGCTAGACGAAAAAAACACCCTTTTCTTAATATCCCATGACATGGCAGACAATTACCCAGAAGAGCCAGTAACATGGCTTTCCGTTGGTGTCTATTACCTTACCATCGGTAAAATTGCTGAATCTAGACGCTTCTTCTCTAAAGCCTCAATGATGGATCCACACTTTGGACCGGCCTGGATCGGATTCGCCCACACCTTTGCAGCAGAGGGCGAACATGATCAAGCGATATCTGCCTACTCTACTGCTGCCCGACTGTTCCAAGGGACCCACCTGCCCCAGCTTTTCCTCGGCATGCAACACCTCCAGCTCAACAATATCACCTTAGCTGACGAGTACCTAAACAACGCGTTCACCCTCTGCAAATCGGATCCGTTGCTCTTGAACGAATTAGGTGTGGTATTCTACCACAAAGATCACTTAAAAGAATCCGTTCAGCTCTTCACCAAAGCTCTCGACATCGCGGAGGAGATCGAGAGCGACCCTAAGGCATGGATCGCAACAAGAGCAAACCTAGCGCACGCGTACAGAAGGCTCGAGTTCTTTGATAAAGCATTGGAACAATTTTTTATCGTGAAACGTACTGGAGAGGGTAAGGATGCAAACGTCTACAGCGCTATAGGGCTGTGCCAAATGCAATTGGGGAGGTCCTGGGAGGCTGTTGTTAGCCTGCATGAGGTATCCCATCGCCCCCTGAACACACTCTACGTACTAATACTCACATTGAAATGTTAGGCGCTAGCTGTATCACCCCAAGATCCTATAGCCACAGAACTTCTCGAGAAGGCTCTCCAAGAGAACTCATCTTCAAACCTCCTTTTCCAATCGTCGGTAATGAGCGCCGATGGCGAAATAATCATCCAAGACGACGAAGAAGTCGAAGCCATCATCAATCAGCGACTAAAAGGGAAGTCGAAATCACGGCACCGATACGGAAACGACGGCGAAAGCAGCAGTAGGGCTCTAAGAACAACAAATAGATCTGCAGGCAGGTCCGCGGCCACAGCCAGTGACGCCGGAGGGGGAGGAGGCAGAAGGCGACTCGGTGATGTTACGAGTAATTATCAGGAAGGCATGGAAATCAGTGATGACGACCTGTAATGATTCTTATGACTGGCTAGGTGCATCGTTTTCTTTTCCTTTTCTTTTCCTTGCTATGCGCAGGGGTTCTGGAGCGGTTCACTTGTAGATAATGATTCGCGGTGTTGCGGTGTATTCCGGGGCGAATGGAGCTCCGAGGGCGATGGCTTTGCTATTAAGAAGGTTTCCTTCTCCCCCCTTTCTTTTCTCCTGTCCGAGTTTGATATTATGAAAACTGTGATACAATCCCGAGAAAATGTGCTGGAATTCACTCGATGGGGCAGCTATCGTCCGCCAACTGCGGTGATCCGACAATCAAGGTTGGGCCTTCCAGGCACAGCACTAGTAAGCACTTTAAAACCTTAAAATGACGACAAGGGTCCAACCTTGAGCCCCAACTTAAATCATTCCACCCAGTATGATATCATAAATCGCCACGGGTCCCACCCCAACTCTCACCACGTTTCCTGTATCCCATCCGAAAACCGACCCCCCCCTCCCAAATACTAGAACAATGTCAAACGAAGATCTAACAGACGAAATCTCCGCCCTAAACTCAATCTACACTCCGGAAACCATTGCCCCGTGCTCGGCAACAGCCACAGCCCCCAAAACTTACACCCTAACCCTCCCCACCCGAATCCAACAGACACTGACACTCTCCTTCCCAGAGACGTACCCGAGCGACCAGCCGACAATTCACGGAACCAGTAGCATCCCCGGTGCCGCTGGGTTTGCACGGGACGTGCTTGTGCGGGTATTCCGACCCGGTGAGGTGTGCTTGTACGATCTTGTAGAGGGGTTGGTCGAGGTACTGCAAGTGCAGGGGGAACCAGCACAGGTTGAAAAGGAGAAGAAGGAAGAGGAAGGGGGTGAAGAAGAAGGGATAGAGCAGGAATCAGAGAAAGACAACTGGACGATCGCACCCCCACTGACGGAGAAAAAATCGGTCTTCATCGCGAGAGCGATGCACGTTTCCTCCCCCGATCAGGCGAAGATGTGCCTTCGCCGTCTGCTGACCGATAAGAAAATCGCGAAGGCGACGCATAATATCTCTGGTCTTTCCTTCCCTTAATCCCTTCCTCCCTCCTTCTCGGGGACTCGCGCGCGATTGTATGATCTACTGACGAACGTACTTGTACCCGTAGCTTACCGCGTCAAGGATCCTTGCAAAAACGTGACCTATCAGGACAACGACGATGACGGGGAGGCGGCGGCGGGTGGGAGGTTAGCGCACTTATTGCAGGTGATGGATGTTTGGGATGTGCTGGTTGTCGTGTCGAGGTGGTATGGAGGGGTCAAGCTTGGGCCTGATCGGTCTGTATAATACTCTTCTTTCCGAGATAGATTGGGAGGGGGGGCTAATGTTGTAGGTAGGTTTCGGTGCATTAATGCTGCGGCTAGAGAGGCTTTGGTGCTTGGGGGGTGGGTGAAGGAGGGGGTGAAGAAGGCGGGGAAGGGTGGGAAGGGGAAGTGGAGGAGTTAGGATCTGTTGGGGTGGTGGTGGTGGTGGTGGTGGTGTATGATATTACACGGTTTAGGGTGATTTAGAGTCATCCGAGCTTTTTCGGAGTAGGATGAAGTTGAGATGTAGGTGTTCGTATAGCTGTTCGAGTGATAAGTGATTATCTCCGCGGGGATTTAATCAAACAGATAGCTGAGCTCACGGTCTGAAGAGTTCGTTTTTCGCACCTTATCCCCCACTTCAGCCAAGGTATCACAGGCCCTCCCGGACAAGGCATACAAGTTATTCATAGCTATACCGCCCGCTATACCATAATTCGTAGAAAGGATCAAAGAAAGAAAAAAAAGAGCCAGTCAACCTGAATTGATTTTAAAGCAACCTCTATCCCAAAGAATCTACAACAAATCCCCATGCCGCCGCCCCAACTCACGAAAGCGGATAATCAGTGGTCTCCTGAGCTTCCAACGTCTTTCTAGAATGAACATGCGCCTGTCCCACATATCAGCGCCTCAATCCCAATCCCAATCCCACCCGGAGAGGACGGCGAAAAAAAGGGGGGGGGAGAGGTAACCCACAAACGGCAATCCACAATACCCACACGGTACAATCTCGGGCTTATCCACGTTTATAAAAATCCTCGGATGTCCCATGGGCCCACCACCTACCGTATCCAATCCGACCCATCACCATCAGTTCCCACACAAACAATAGCAGCAGTAACAAAAAAAAAAGGGGGGGGAGGACAAACCGCCATCACAAACGACGATCCTCTTCTCTGAAAATCTCACGGGCTGTCGATGGATCAACTCGATAGCGGCGTAAGGCGTCGGCTGCAATTCCATATCCGTATTCTCGAACCTGGGCCCCACCATGGCCAACTCCCTCGGCTGCTGCGACCTTGACCACGTGGTCGCGCGGTTCGGGGCCTGTAGGTGACGCTTGGCCTCCCCCGCCCCGACCGATCCCTGCAGCGGCGCGTTCGGGTCCGCTCCGGCCGTGGTGCCCACCGACGCGGCATTGGTCGTGCTGGAGCTTGGCGGTGGCGGCGGGGTGTTGGGTTCTGCGGTTGTTTGGTGGTGGTGGGTTTGGATTATTGTGCGGGATTGGAGGTGGGGGAGGAGGGGCCTTGGAAGGCGGGAGAGGCGGAGGAAGCGGGGGAGCATTGTTGCGGTTTTGGTATTGGAATGGAGGGAATTGAAGATTTTGGATTTTTGGAGTTTGGTCACTTGGTTGTCGGACTACCTTAGTGGGGTGAGGTTACGTAAGACGTGTTCCCGGCTCATGTATTGTCACTCGGGGAAAATATTTCCACCCACGCAAGTGGGTTGGCTACGGCGGATTGAAGAGCGAGGGGGGTTACACTTTTTTTTTCACTTTTGTTTCGTTTTTCTTTTTTCTTCGCACCAGGTAGATTGGTAGCCATCACTGCCCGTATTAGTGCATAAATGTTTCAATCAGAGTGTGACTTATTGTAAATTTAATTCCACTTAAACCCCTCAGAGAACACGACTATCGCAGGGCGACCACTAAACCAACGCGGGCGCGGTGATAAACCTCGCATCGGATCCCCCAAATTGATACAGAACCCCACATCAGACAGTGTAAAGAATTCCGGAAACGATCATCCCAACAGAAAAAAACAAAAAAATATAAAAGCACTCGTCGTCACCTGTTCACTCGTTCGAGCTGGTTTGACACATTCACCTCCACTGTTGCTCGTCCTCACCAACGCTTTCCCAGTTTTGTCCCATGATCGATCAACCTACTTTTCCAGATTCTCCGATCCCTCCTTGGACACCAAGGTCGACTCTCTAGTGCCTTTTGGGGGGTTCTGGACCTTCGAGGCGAGTGACCCCCTCCACTCTCTGATCAAATCGGTAGCACCACTGACCTCCTCCTCCGGCACCAACCAAAGATCCACCTCCAATCCATCTTCCATCGCCTGCCCAATAATCTGGTCAAGAGCCTCCCACCTTTGCTTATTAACCTCCACCCCGGGAAAGAACAATGCGTCAAGTCCTCTCCAATTCATTCTGCGCCAATGGCTGAGAAACTCAGTCATACCGCGGACGAGCATCTCGCTGGGGGTCGCAATAACGATCTTTGTGAAGTTGGCGCTCCTAATGGCCTTCGACAGCTTGGTAGCAATATCCTGCGCCACAATAATCGAGTGTTTGACGGTCTCGAGCTCTGCTCCGAGAAGGCCGTTTTTGGATGGTTTCCCTTGATTATGGTATCTGTTGAACCGAGAATCCGGCCCAAAGTATATGCCGCCGCCCATGGGTGCAAGCACAGCGCATTGGACAATGAGAGTATTCCTCCCCTGATGGAGCTTCGCGTTGGGGGGCGAACTGTGGACATTGTCATGTGTAGGATGACCACCTTGGGGATAACGGATGGGGGTGCGAAAGAGGGCTATGGTAACCTGCATGCTGGCGCTGTACCGGGTGCACTTCCGGAGGGACATCTTTTCCCTCCTTGCCAGGCCAGAAATGTCGCTTGAGTACAATCTTCGGGGGAATTGCAATTGGGTACTACCGTCGGCGAATTTAACACGGACTCCATTCGGGGTGGTGCGGTATATATTCTGGGAGATTTGCAATAGCCTCTGCCAACTCTCGGGGTTAGGCGCCAATTGGTGAGAATACGGCGGTGGGAGGGTGGAGTAGATGTTTGTTGCTATCTTGTCCTCTTCCGGGTAGTTGTGGAATGTGCCCTGGCTAAAACCGCTGGGGATGGTAGAAATATCATTATTGGGGATGCAGTGGCCATGATGGCTCTCGCAAGGTGCAGCCAGGATCCTACGCCGGGCCCCCGGAACAACCTCCTTCATCTCCGAAACGGTTGTGGAAGGGCGTCTATGACCAACAGCTTTCGGGTCCATGCTTGGGCTTGAGGATTTTACAATGCAGCTCCGTTGGTTGGAAACCCGGCGTTGTGGTCGAGGGGGATGGGAGGGAGGAAGCGGAAGTGGGGGAGCAGAAGAAAAGAAGAGGTGCCACACCGTTAGTCTGACGGGCGTAATGCCCTGAGAACGGGTAGAAGATTCGAGGTCTGCAACCGGTGTTTCACGGAAATAGTCCCCGAGACCCAACCACACACCCTGCTAAATTGCCCTTGACCCGCCAGCGCAACATCAGAAATAATCTCCATTCTCGAACTTGTTTAGAATGGGTGAATTAGAATGCCCTACGGGCATAGGAATCAACAAGACATATGTAGGATTATGAACCCCCTGTGCTGTTGTGAGTCTTCAACTTCGCAATTCCGAAAAGCATCACCGCCACCGCTTCCGGTCTCAATATCACCCCCGCTACGCGACAATGTCGGAAAGGAAACTGAGGAAATGGCTACCGGACGTGCATCATGTTCTACTACTTTCCCTAGGCCCAACCGAGAACCTAAAATCCTCACGACTGGGCCAACTACCTCCCAGCCCGTCCGCACGCAAACCCCCAACCACTTTCTCTCCCCCCCCGCCTCCTCCTACCTCTCTGCCCCACTGCTATTATGGTAAATGGCAAACCCAACCAATGCGCAATGCTTCTCATAAACGCTCAGCAAAAACTCTCCTGAAGTAACCACAGTTCTCACATGGGATACCCGGTGGTCCAATAGTTCCGATCTTATCCACATCCTTATCAACCCGCCGGGACATATCATTGGAGGGGTTGCGATACAGCCTACAGTTTTACTGTCTGCTGGCGTGGCGCACTTTTCTACAGGAACTTGTGAAGCACACTTGTCCAGTCCCTTTTTGATGATTCCGCCCCATACCCTTAAGATAACCCCGCGTCATAGCCGCTTTGGCCGCCCATAAATCTCTCATATGAGGGGCTACAGCCTCCCCCAACAACCACCTGAGGAATGGACACCGCCTTACGAAGCCCATCAGGTAGCGCAACTATAGCGGTTTTCGTCACTTCTTCAGGCGGGGTTACTTCCATCATTTCTGGCAGATATCGCTCGATTTTGGAGTGCACTTGCTATCGGGGCGCAACCCGCAAGGTCAAATCCTACGAAACTTGGCGCCTGCCTCGGCATGCCAAGATGGGGAGGTATCATAAGAGGAAATACCCCGATTGGCCTCCTTCTCTCTCTTCCTTATCCTACCCGGTTTTATCCTCTATCTTTGGTTAAATTTCCTTCCTCGCGATCGGGGTTTGTGCTGAAATGAACACTAGAAGCGTTGAGTCAGGGCGAATGTGGACTGAGGTGAACTTTGCCGATTGAGTTGAGCTCAGTCGAGTGGATCAGGAAGGGCGGGCCACTCACCGGTAATAGTGCGGTTCACCGTCACCGCTCAGTTTTTGCCTTTCTTTCTGCCCGTTGGTCGGTTGGCCGCCTGTGGCAACTGCGGGTTGCAACGAACCACCCTATCATATCAAACCTTAATATTTGCCCTAAGGCACCATCATAATGGATCACTCGCCTAGGGTGACGGGATCGCAATTTGACGCCTCGCCTTTCATTTCTCGTCCTCCCAACCTTACCGAAGGTACAATCACAGTGACGGGGGGCTTTGGGTCGATAAGCTGTTGGACTTAAATCAACAAAGCGCCCACTTGACGTGGGGTCCTTTTTTTTTCTTCTTTCGAAAGATGTCTAACCCACTTCTTCCATTTCTTTGTCGCTCTCCAAGCTCCGGTCCCTTATATACCGCACAGTCGCTTTTGATCGCTACAGGAAATAGAACTTTTCGACTCCCTTCCTGTCTTTCATCTAAACACGAAATAAGAAAATAAAAAATAAAAAAAAGAGAGTTTGGAAGTCTAATATTACCGTCGCATCCTGCACGCCTTCCTGAGTGCTCGTCTTGTCACATTTTCATCTTCATGGAACCTACTTACACACGAATCTTCCGCCCGGGGGATCTGGGCTTTGGAAACTGCGCACCCGGCTTGAAACCTGGGGATGTGACTTCCTACTGTCCCTTCACGGGGCTATCCTTCGCAGCATGGCGAGATGCTTACGATAACCGCTTTGTTGATTCAGCGTGTGTTATCATAAAAATCCACGGATCATTTTCTCTCTCCCTATCCTCTCATTCCACTCCATCCTCCTCTTCTATCTCCGCGCCCGCATCTGCTTCCACCTCCTTCCCGTGGTCGGCCGCAGACTGGTCACATAACACGTCGGTACCCTCGTGGACAAACACCCAATCGGCATATCCAGCGGCCATCAGTCCTATGGGTGCTACCACTGCCTTCGGGTTGTTCTACGGCCCGAACTCGCCCAGGAATGCTGCCGGAACTGTTCCTCACGTTCTCTATGAGCAGTCCAAACCGCATGTTGACCTTTTCGCTGCTGGCATGGCTCTGATGCACCTTTTGCAGACTATCGTCAATTTCTCCAATCCGCTGGATGGTGGTATCAGAAGTGTGATTTTGGTGACGGACTCGAACTACCTCTTTTCTTGTCTGACGGAGCATGTATGTACCTGGAGGGAGAGGGGGTATCGAAACGCAAAGGGGAAGGAGGTCTCGAATTCTAATGCCGTGAAATGGGTTGACAGCCTGGTTGAAAGTATTGAAGGACGCGGTATTGGTGTGAAGTTTTGGAAGGTTGACAAGAAGGACAACCGGGAGGCTATCGATCTAGCGAAGAGGATTTTGGATTCACATGAAGAATTTAGGAGGAGGCATGGCATTGAATATCGAAGGCACTTGACTTTGGGGCTGTAAGTACAATAATAGCATAGCTCGGCGTTGGTGAGTACACTACTCGCCCTCACCTCAGTTTTTTCTCGGACATTCCCACTTCCCGTCGCAGAATCCCTAGAGTTCCCATCCCAGTCCACTGACACGATAGGCGCTATTCTAGATTAATATCACTATTATTCTCTTATAGAAACGGCACTTTCTGAGGATCATGAATATACCTGTGTTCCTATCCTTTTCCTGCTCTCCGTTTTTTTCTTCGATAAAATTGAAGACCACCGTGCCACTGATACATACGAAATCCGCGATACGGATGGGAAAAAAAGTCCTGATTTCATTTCGCTCCCACCACCCTAAACCTGTATATACGGGCACTTGTATAGTTATAGTACCTGGTCATATTTGTAGAGAAAAGTTGTGGATATCGGCAAAGAGAATCGTCTTCCCCACGATATTGCTTTTGCTCCTGCTATCCCCAGACACGGCACTGTATACCAGAAACGTAGCCGTTGCCGGGATACTGTGTGCGGAAGCCTTGTTTGTGTGATGCGATACTATTGGGGCAAACCACAATCCGTGATAGGCGCCTGCGGGAAGGTCCATTGTGTGAGAAATTTGTTCCGGGAATCACCCTGCCCGTTTTTTTAGCTTCATCTAGATCACTAGGCTACAACCGTCCTGCGGATTGAACTTCCCAAGTGTCACAGGCTTCGAGGTTTCTGGAGCATGGGGGTCATTCAAGATGACCCGCGTTTCCAGCACCTGTACCGTACTACCGGTACTGTACCTGTAGTATGGTACTGCATAGCACAAGAATCAGGCTACTCCAAGGATACCGGAAGGAGAAAAAAAAAACATTCCACAAGCAGATACTGGTAGAGTAAGGACTCGAACAAAGGGACCTTGTGCTATTCGTAGGACCAGGAACGTTGGAGTTCCCTCCTCAGAAAAATCACTTTTCTCTTTCTCCTTTCATCTCCATCCGCACCCCGGAGGAAATCCCGGGGCACCTATACTCAGATGCTCGAGTATTCGTCCAATACCGGTGTGGAAGTGTCTCTGCTATCTTCCGTAATTTGGATGGTGTGATTGATCGAGCTGACACCTGTGCAATTGTGTTGATCGTACGGTGTGGTATTAAATCGGACAAGAGAGTAGACTCATGCTGATAAAGGTGACAGTAAAACACAGTGAGAAAGCGAGAGAAAAAAGGTGGTGAAACAAAGCTCCGAAATGACAACAAAGAAGGTGGTGTAGAAGGTGGTACAGACTGGGTCTCTCGTGCTTCTCTTTCTGAGGAAGGAAAGGCCATGCCTCCAAGTGAAAAGTTTCCACCTGCTAAGCCTCATCCCAGACAGAAAATTCTATGATATGGGTAAAAAGCCCGCAAAACATGACCAGAAAACCCCTAAAACCTTCATAACACCACACCGGTACACGGGATCGATTAACGTATGATATGATCGTCGGGATCTTGGGGGGGGGGGGGTCGGGGCTTGGAGAAGAGAAAACCGATGGCTTGGTACCCGGGCATCTGGTAAAGGTTACCCTAGCCAACCCGACGACTCTGTATTGTACGAGTATTAATGCCTTCATCAATGACACGATTAACGTCAGCGGTGATAGCGCTGACTTCGCCCTCGCCTCCTAGCCTGATGGTGGTGGCTGGTGAGCCAAGTGCTCACTCGATTCTGTGACATGGGTGACTGGGGACAAGGAATTTCAAGGATGTAGCAGAAGATTTCCATTCGGGAAGGTTCTTTAGGTGACAGATGAGCGGAGCTAGAGTTACTTCTCCACACTCGTCCAAAGAATCCAGGACACAAATTACATCGCCACACCCTTGTGTGTCTATCACCTTAACCAAAAAGTACCGCGGTGTATCCACCTCCTCCGCAAATCTCTTGCCTTTCACCTCAAACTCGCTTTTCGCCTATATATAGTGGTCTTTGTACGAAAAGCTGAGGGAGTAAAGCATGTAGAGCAAGCTTTGCGCTCCTTCGCTTGTCGCTATCGTATTTGAAGGAGAAAGAATAAACAGTGGCCTCTGTCTGGATTCGCAGATGCTGTATACTAGTAATGAATGAAACAATAATGGATTTCCCGCAGCCAGGGTCCACTGATGGACCCAAGCAGACTTGATGTCCTCCTCTCTAACTACTCGTTATGCCTTTGGTGTTCTGTGATCCGGGTGAGTGTTCTATTGACTAGCGGACGAACACGACTTTTGTGCTTCCCATGTCTAGACGAGTATGAACATTGTAAAATTGCGGCATGGCCCGCCGCCAAGTTGGTGCTCATATGGTCGTTGTAATCATTTTGTGCTGTGTTACCGGGGTAGTGTTGCAAGAGCCGCTTTTGCCGCCATACTCACCTTGAATATCGGAGATGGCCGCCAAGCAAGAAGCATGGTTCCGATATCAATAATTCGAAAAGCAAATATATATGT